AGTAGATAAGCATAGCTAAAGATATATAACAGAAGATTGGGTTACTAACTAAATAAATTACAAAAACTTAAACTGCAGTTGTCACGAATGGTGCTGTCCATAGCAAGTTTGACCCGGTCGGAGATATTGCAGTGGCGTGCGGTGACATTTTTGGAAGGGGAAGCGATTGTATAAAAATACAGCAGGCGAAAATTTTTCGAGGCGCATTCACCATTTTGTTAAAATCTTGCTTTTTTTTTCCTCAGTACTACGGATATTCGAGATTAAGATTTTTGAAGTGTTACTATTACTTTATTACCTAGTTTAGTACTAGAAGCTATAAAAAACTTACCATTGAAAAGCGTCCTTGGTTTATTTAAACTTAAAAAAAAAATTAACTAAAGTTTTTTTTTTATTTTTCCAGCATTTTTCGCACAGTTGACACAGCAGTTGAAATTTATTTATACTTAAGAACTATTCGCCTATCCTCAATGGCTGCAAATTTGTCTATAACATCGTCGTTAAATTTTGTATTTTCTAATAACTGTTTAACAAGCTGTTTTTCAATGAATATTGGGGCTAAATTAGAGAGTCTGTCTTCACTTGTTGAATTTCGGATAAAACTTTTAATGCGCGTTAAAGCTGAAAAATTTCGCTCAACTGACGAACTTGTGGCTGGGATGGTTAGTACTAATTCACACAACTTGACGACTTCACAAAGGGACTTATTTAACACATTGATGGGCGTCTTTTTATCACTAATTTCAGTTGTTTCATAAACAACACTTAACTGGGACTTTAATGCTGGAATATCGAAAAAAATTTCCATAATTTATTTTAGTTAATTAAAAGCTTCCGATGGAAATTTTGATGAATCGTAGTTACTAATATTAAAATTGCACAATTAAACAAATTTTAATTCGTTAAAGTTTTGAAATTGAGAGTTCATTTGTTGTAAAATATTATCAAAAATTTCGGCGTATAATCAAAGATAGGAGGTCTCTCTGTCGCCGACATTATCAATTCTAATTCTCTTTCTTTCAGGTTCTAAGCCAATGTTTTGAGTCTTATTCCAAAAGTGTTCAAACTGATCTCTTTTCTTATTCATTTTATTTTTGAAATCATCAATTTGTTTAATGCAAAAGCCAATGTTATTTGACTTTGTAAAATGTCGAATAAAATGTCAGTAAAAGGGAAAATCTCTGCAAAAATGTTGAGCAAAAAATTGAAATCAAAGTTTTGTTTGAACCAATGCAAATACCCTTTAGCGACAGTAACAGTTTCAGCATCCCATGTTTCTTTATTATCTCAAACGTCTTGAAAAAAGTGTATCAAAGAATTACAGTATTGAAACACTGTTTGCACTAAATGTCTATTGTAGTTCCATCGCGTCGGAGCAACTTTTGGAAACCTTTTTGAACGTGAATGTCCAAAGCGCGAGTTCTTTTCCATGATTTTGAAAAGAAGGAAGCCAAACTACTAAGCGTCGAAAAGAAAACTTTGGAATCTTTAATACTATCCATGCTTCGCGATAAAGCCAAATTAAGTCTATGTGCTATACAGTGAATGAAAATTGCATGTTTAAACTTCTCTTTCACTTTAGCTTGAGGGCCTCCTAAATGGCCAGCCATTACGGCAGCACCATCGTAGCTCTGGGCGACAAGCTTAGAACTACATTCTAAACTTAAAATAATGTCACAAACAATTTTAAACTGCAGATTCGTTCGCTAGTGACGTCCAAAAATCCTAAGAATCGCTCTTGAGGAATGCCATCCAATACATATCGCACAACAATGGATAATTGACTTAAGTTTGCTACATCTGTGGTTTCATCAAGCGCAATTGATACGGAAGGTGTTTTTTTAATTTCACTTTTAATGTGATCCATCACAACGTCGGCAGTGCATTTATTTAAATCATTTTGGATTCTGTTTAAGGTACTTCGGAAAGTCGTCGAATCAATGAAATAATTTTTTAGGGTATCATCGTATTTGCAGATGATTTAAAAGTATTTCTTGAAATTTCTGATATACATGATTGTTTATTCCTTCAAGAACAATTAAATAATTTATATGATTGGTGTAAGCGCAATAAATTGTTTCTGAACGTACGAAAATGCAAAGCTATAAGTTTTAGCAGAAAAGTCAACACAACAAATTTTAATTATACCATTAATAATGAAGAACTAGTCAGGTGTGATCAAACTAAAGATCTAGGTGTTATATTTGATTCGGAGCTAACTTTTAGTGTACATGTTAATACTATTACTAAATCTGCAAATAAAATGTTAGGATTTTTATTTCGCAATTGTCAAAAGTTTAGAACCGAAGCTGCCTTAAAGTCGCTGTACTTTTCATTAGTTCGTTCCAAGTTGGAATATGCTTCTTTGATTTAGTATCCGAAGACAGAGTTGCAGAAGAACAGCATTGAAAGGGTGCAACGCAAATTTTTAAAGTTTTTAAATTACAAGGTTAGGGGTATCTATCCCCCCCACGGATTTGATGAAAATGTGTTGCGTAATGGATATAATGTACAATCCCTTGAAAATAGAAGAAAATTAATGTCAATTTCTACAATTTATAAAATAATTCATAATATAATTGATTGTTCTATTCTACTAGAAGGACTTTACTTTTTAGTAACACGACAAAATGCACGGACATTCAACACGTTTTCTCTTCCTATTCCCAGGACTAACCTGCTAATGAAATCACCAATATATATTATGTGCCAAAATGTTAATATTTTATGTTTGAATTGTGATATATTTTTTGAAAAACTTGCACATGTTTTGCGCATAGTCACCCGCAATTTTTAATTTTAATTTTTACTTTAAGCTTTATATTCATTTTGTTATTATTATTTATTTTAGTACTTATTAATATTTACTCTTAAAAATCTATTGTTATATTTTGTCCTATCTTTGGATGTTATATCTGTTGGGCAATAAAGAATTTATTTATTTATTTATTTATTTTGCTAAAAAACTTAGGAGGTCCATGTAATTTCCTCGATTGGCGGATCCACTTCATTGTGACCCCTAAAACTTAGTTCATGCTCTCCCAGGAAACAAGTTATATCTATTAATAATAATAATAATAATAATAATAATAATAATAATAAATCGTTTATTGTTTACCATAAAAAAATATATAATCATTCGTTTACTTATATCTAGAAAACCACTAGTAAACAAAAGGAGTGATGATAGGTCTAGAGACCAATTCTTCCTCATCATCCTAAAATAAAAAGTAATACAAATAATAATAATACAACAATTAAATAATTATATGTATGAAGTTACAGACCTTAACTAACATTTTTCATTTCCAAACCTAATACAAAAAAACCTTAACCACGAAAGAATAATACAATTAAAATATTTTAATTATGATGTAAAAATCATTTATTTTTTTCTCTAGCGTGTGCACAAATATAATATATAGCTGGAGACTATTGTTGTAGAAACAACTTGTTCGTTTGCTTTTTTTTAAAGGCTCTTAACGAAAGAGAGAAACTTGGTATATCCATGAGGTGACCAACAGATGCAATCTGATAAGAAAAAGATGATTTATATAGTTCCTTGTTGTGTGCTGGTATGGTAATAGGATTTTTTACTCTTAGATTCAGGTTGTGCACATCTGTTCTAAATCTGATTTTTCTAAATAAATAGGGGGGATGTTTACTTTTAAGAATCTTATAGAAATAGCAGTAGGTATGAAGTTTACGACGATTGTACATACTTAACCATCCTATTTCTTTAAGTTTGTATGATATCCGATTCCTTTTGCGTATACCATAAATCATGGGCAAACACGAATTTTGTACTTTTTGAATGCGGTACGAGTCTATTTTCCTAAGGAAAGGTCCGTATACGGCGTCGCAGTGATTAAAGTGCGAAAGTACAAGTACAGTACATTGATAGGATCCTTTAGTCTACTAGAATTAATAATGTCCGTTTTCTTTTCAAAATTTCTACTTGAAAATCTTTTTTTCAGTAAAGAGCACATAATTTACCACATTATTATTGTTCACAGGCACAGTGCATAGTTCCTCCATTTTACAAAAAGAAAAACTACTACGAAAAACAAACCAAAATCTATCTGAAGTCTACGATTTTCCTCACACGTCGATTCGCGGTGCGAATTGCAATATGCGTAAGGCGACGTAAAAATCGCTGCCTCTCGGCCGTATTTCACGTATCCAAACAGACTTACTATTGTGGCAGCAAAGCAGGGTCAATAACATGAAGCGAAATCAATTGGAAGGTGAGCCGGCTTTTTCAAGACGCGCTTCCGCCGACGGAAGTATTTGGTGTGTGCGTTTATACAATTAATTTTCTCATGGGTGGTGCGTGCGTTTACACATTACTCCAATGAATTGTGTTTGTGAAGTGTTTCAGAAAAAATATAGTACCTAATTTAATATTAATTTCTATGCATTGTAAACTGAAAAATATTTATTTTTAAATCTCAAAGTGTAGGGAAGTGGTGCTTCCCTCGCTTTCATGGACCGCACGCCCCTGTGATATTATCATTAACCCGACATAAATCAAAGTTGCTCCATATTCATTTGGTTCCAAGCCTATTACTTAAATCTGCAAAAGTGTCATAGTTTAGCCCAGAGACTTTAATACTCGGGTCTATGTCATTTGTTCTCACAATATACATCAATTTAAGGTCCTCGGTTATTGCTCCATATGTTATCTTACATTTTTGTATGTCACTATTGGCTGGACCTAACTTAAATAATTTAATTCTAAATTGTTCACCCCTATTGAATACGCGCTTACGGTCAACAGCAGTTTAGAACACTACATAATCAACAATAGCGTTATCAATTTTCCAATTATTGTATCAATAATTTTGTATTTTTATATTAATTTTCCCCACATGTGACAATTTAAACATTTATGAATGGAACATTTCTTGTTTTGATTTTTTTTGTAAACATTAAATGAATTAAAGAACCATAACATTGACAAGTTTTTCCGTATTATGCACGATACAACTAGAGATAATAATAATGTCAATTCTTATCGTTTGACGTTTGACCTCTCGAGCCTTAACCAAAAGCCTATTTTATGGAATTAGTATTTATTTAATAGCTATCTGCAGTTCAGTGTGCAAGCCAATTAAATAGGTTACTAAGTTCGTGAAAAATATTTTCAAATTAATACTATTTGGTATTATCAAGTTCGTATAAAGTTTTCTTCAATGTTTGACATTCGTGTCAAATTTTTTTAACGTTGAGGTAAGTTTTTGCAATTTTCTCATTAAATTATTATTTGTAATACCCTAATATATATTTTTTAAGAACTATCAGGTTTTCACCAATGAATTTATTATACTGTTTAGCATTAATGTGGCAGGCAAACACTAACAAAGGCTAATAAAACATACCTAATGAGACACACACATTATTAAATTAAAATGTATTCAGTTTTATATTATGTTTATTTATATTTAAGAAAGATAGTGTAGTCGACAATTCTACATACATTCAACTGATTAAAAATATCAAAATAAACCCGAGAGCTGTCAGATTTATAATGTATAACAATTTCCTAGATATTCACATTTTTCTTAAGTTTTAAATATACTAAAATGCAAGCATATTGATTTAAGCAATTAGCAAAATAGTCTAAGGAGTAATTGCGTTAATTTCCCTCTTGTTTACGTGATTCTATTTAAATATATCTAATACCGTAGAGTTTCAAAAGAGCAACATCCAATTATTTGGACTTTTTAATATGAAACTCTTACATTGCTAGAAAATTTGGATATTATTACATTGACTGTATAAGCTAAGTATAAGTTGGAGGTAAAGATATTCTTTCTTTTTCGGCAAAACAAAGGATATCGTATAAAAACACGTTTAACGGCGATGCAGGGACGTATTTAAATATTATCACATTATTCGCATTATTTCCTTCTTCGATTATTTAATTAATATCACTAAATTAAGTTTTAAAGGCAACACTTACGAAATTGATCCAAAATAAATATTCACGACTCTTCTTTTAAAAAATTTACCGCTGCCACCATGTAATGTAGTAGGACGAACGGGTAGGAGGCATACAACATTTACATTGTTTATTATAATTATTTATTATAATTACAAACAATAATTAAGCCCGGCACGACGTTTACATCGGCTTGTTTTCATGGAACTGATTAGCTCGGCATTGCCAACGTTCTTATACATTTGGCATACCTAGTAGGTATGCAATATACATCACATATATTAGTCTGGCTTTAATTTTTAAAGTGATTGAAGCATCCAAGCCTTCTCAACACGTCAAGGTTAGATTTCTAGAAAAAGAAAATAGGAACAAAACCATGTTCCTTTCCAAAATAACGTCAACCAACAGATACATAGTTATTACAAAACTATCGTCTTCACTGGACATGTCATTCAGGTTTATAATGCAAGAATGAGCCGGAAATATTCGGTGGTTATTTTCAATTTTGGTAAGACGGAGAACACAATTGGAGCACAATTCTTGAGATGAACAAACTTCCAACAACTTCTCTGATAACATCTAAAACGGTTTCAGACAACGCATGATTAATTTTTTTTACCTCCATTTTGATATTACACCAAATTAATTCCATGGCATTTAATCTACGATAATACGGTGGTAAATGTATTACAGTCTGAACAAATGCTCCATAGCCATCTAATCTACAATATGGCTAGGTTTGAGATTTAAGCCTTTCGTTTACTATTTCTTTAATCCGATTGTTTAATTGTCAAATTGTCTTATATTACACAGGGTTGTTCATTAATCCTTGATATTATTTGATAAATCTATTTGCTCTATAATTGGCTGTATTGTTTTCAATTTTATTAGTAAAAATTGATTAAAATAAATTATTAATATACAGTATTATTCATTTGTACTTGATATTATTTGGTAATTTGTCGCATAATGCGCCATTTTCGATCCAAGAATCGATCTTTAAATGACGTATTATATTATTTTCGTTCTTAAGTTTATTTTTACATTTATGTAACAATTTTCTGTTTCTTTATCCCATATTAACCATAAAGAATCTTTGAACTCGCACTAAACCCTGATATTAACTTTTTTTAAATAAAACTACAAGTTATATACAGAGTCTCAAATTTTTACTTACTTTAATTTCAATAATTCAAGAGTTGACGATATACGAGGTGCAAAGGTAAGTGCCTCAAATACATAGATGAAAACTTTTAAACCCATTATCTAAAAGAATTAAGTTATATCGTTTTATCACAATCGCGCATTGCATCAGATAGTATTTCAGCCGGAGCATTAAGTATTTGGATGGATGATTTGTAATCTAAATTACTTTTAAATAAAATAATACTTGGGTAATGTTACTCTTTATTAAAATATTCATTTCACTAGAATAAGGCTGCTAAACGTGAAGCTCATTACAGTATGGTACCAGACGAGGAGCCTTAATAAAAAAAAAATTGTATATGATTAAAATAAATTAGAATATTTAAATTAAAATTAATAAAAAAAAAACACGTCATTCATTACAATATAGCTACTGAAACATAATTATAACATCCTCAGGCTAGAGCGGGCCCTGATATTTCTCTGAATATTCCTTTCATAAACGTCCAAATTGAAGGATGTTTGGACCTAAACTGTTTGGCTAGGTTAGAGTACAATTCCTCAATATTCTGTGGTCGCGTACCCAACACGTTCCGTTAATTTCGGCAATTTGCTTATTTTGGAATGAGATTTCTTTTGCGTAAAATATCATTTTAACATAAAGAACCCCGCACCAAATACATATGAAACTGACCCTTAGACACTTTTGATAGTTTTTTTGGAATATTGTAGTACAAGTCATTAGAAGTTAAATGTAATAATACTTTTAATAATTCACCCCCTTACGAGTGAATTTTAACCCCAAAAGCTTGTCAGGGTAAAGGGATGGGTATTACTATTATTTGCCGTGGCGCTCCGGGGCGACTTAAAGATGATTATGCCATTTGACTTACAGGTGAGGAAAACCCGGAAAACCTCATCCACCATCATCGAAAACGGTAACGCATTGCGATTTTTAATGATCTGGATGTCATATCAACAGAAATTAAATTTCTGCTAATATGGCATCTATCAATTCTGTAGGATTTGAAACCGTGTCTCATTTTAGCAGAAAATTGGCTCGCAAATGAATGCCGCGCTGTAGACACCTACGCTACCGTAGTCGATGGGCAAGTTTAAATCAGTTTTTACAACTAGTTTTGGAAATAGGAATTTTCGAAAATCATAAAAATGACTGTACGATATTAATAGAGGATACTGGTGCCTATTTTGAAAACTTTAAATCCGCAAATTAACCCCTAGACTGCTTTTATATACGGCAACATTGCTTTTCCGCCAAATCCTTTAATTGGTTCATTAAACTCGTCGATAGCTAATTAGGTCAATCAACAAAGACTTCCTAGTTGATGAAGTAGAAAAATCTTAATTGTTTTCTTTGTGCAATTATATTTCCTTCAAAGATTTTTGATTATATAGGTAACAGTATCTAATGAAGTTGTATTAATTATGTATTGATTTTTATGAATTTTGACTAGCCTTACCGAACAGTATGAATTAAAGTATGTTACAGACTTATGGAAGTTATTAAAAATAATTGTTTTCGAAATTTGACACTAATCTGCTATCTAGTATCTGTATTTTCTTTACTCATCAATATTTTTATGATCAAACAAGTTATTGTCAAAGTATTGCTTGACGTATTTTGTTAATTCTATTTTTATCATAATAAAAAAGAATAAAAATATCTCACGAAAATAAGTTAAGTAACTATCAATTAATAATATTTGTAACCAAATATTTTAAAAATAGCCAGTATATTCAAAATTTCCATTAATATATTTTTTATGTTTAATGACACATTTAAATTATTGGAATTGTACAAAATAATACTGGGACTTTTGGACATAAGGATTTCGAAACAAGCTAATTAAAATACCGACATTAATTTATGTCTGCGACAACTAGATAATATGCAATAAAGACAAAATAAAAATTAATACTATGATGCGCATGAGGATATTACAAAAATAACAAAACAAGAATTATTAATGGAAAAAATAAATCAGAACCTACTAAATTGGAATGTACACTTGTGATTTAATAACAAGAACAAGACCAAAAATCAAAATGGATAGTTCCTATTAAAGAAATTGGAACGGGAAAAGAAAAGACAATAGTGAGTTGAAAACATTAGCAAAATACAAAAACGGCCTGGTACAAGAGAACAAGGAAGCATTTTCTGACGAAGGTAAATGCAAAAGGAACCCTAGAAAAAGAAGAGAAAGATTCTAATAATCTTGCACGACACAAATGTTAAGAGTTAAGTTTTAGACTTATAACAAAAGCAGGAAAACGTATCATTGCTCTTTAATCTATATAAATAATAAAGTAGTAGATAACAGGTTTTCTGAAAATTGAGTATTACTTGTTCCAAAAATAATATAAAAGTAATTTTAAAAAACCGACTTCAAAATCGTATAGATGCCCTTAAAACTTTTTTTTTCTCATAGATTGTCAGCTCCTGACCAATTGTATACCGAACTACTCCTGAAGTATCCCCTTTCCAACAAAAAAAAATCCTAGAAATCAAACAACGTGGTAAAGAATTATCTCAGAAAATACATAAAAAATTTCATGATTTTCTCATGGACCCCATTATTAGATCTTGATCAAATGTATGTGGCACCACCTCTGAGGTACCGCCATTCAAGAATCATAAAAATCGAACAACGTAGTAAAGAATTGCTGAACATACATAATAAAAAATATATTCCGACGAATTGAGAACCTCTTCCTTCCAAACTAAAATTGAATATTTTCCTGTTATTATTTAGAATATTGTTATTAAGATTTTTATTAATACATTTACCCCAAACAACGCGCTCTTACCCCAAGTGACCCTACATAATTATATGCAGAACCCATCAAAGTTTCTTTTTAGAGTAAAGAAGAATGGGAGGAAGAAGACGAGGAGGACGAGGAGGATGATATTAAGCAAAAAAATGTTATTATTAATATTAGAAAAAAAGTTATTGGTCATAAAAAGTCGAGCATAGTCTGAAACCAAAAATAGAACCATCAGATATCAAATTTTATTAGTCGTATACTAATTTTGTCAAAAATAAAGGTACTTTACTTTTCAGCAAAATGTTATCGTTCAAATATCCAGTATACAATGTTGCCAAATTTTCGATGCCAAAAT